GGTCACAGCACTGACAAATAACGCAGTGCTGCGTAGTGTGTTAAAAGAAGAACGTAGATATTTAGGTGCAGATAGAGAATGAGCACTGTAATATAGTAAGTGGCCAAAATACTCTGTATACAGAACATGTATCCTGACCATGTTTAAAGGAAAGAGCATTTGAGTTCATGTTTGTACTTGTTGTGGAGGTGATCCTGGGAAGGAAGAGGCAGTCTTTCTTTTCATTGTTTATCTCATTGTATCCTTTGAACTCATACCATGGGAATATTTTTTCTTTTTAATTTTTTTAAAAGTGCCCTTGAGCCCTGGCCAGTTTGGCTCAGCGGTTAGAGCGTCGGCCTGCAGTCCAGAGAGACCCGGGTTTGGTTCCCGCTAAGGGCACGTACCTTGGTTGCAATTTTTCCCTGGCCCTGGTTGGTCGAGCGGTTGGCAGCCACTTGATGTGTCCCTTTCACGTCGATGTTTCTCTCTCCCCCTCCCATTCTATCTGAACAGAAAATGGAAAAATGTCCTCAGGTGAGGATAAAAAAAAAAATAAATAAATAAAATAAAATAAAAGTGCCCTTGACATGTTATTCTACATTTCCCCCCCAAAGTCTAGTGTTGCCATTAGTACTGAATTAGTTTCTTTAAAAAAAAATTTTTTTTTCCCTTTATTGATTTTAGAGAGAGAGGAAGGGAAACGGAGAGATAGAAACATCGATGTGAAAGAACATCGATCGACTACCTCCTGCATGCCCCACACTGGGGATCGGGCCCACCACCTGGGCATGTGCCCTGACTGGGAATCGAACCAGCGACCTCTTGGTGTATGGGTCGACGCTCAACCACTGAGCTACATCAGCCAGACTGAATTAATTTCTTTATATTAAAAGAAAATAGCCCTGGCCGATTTGGCTCAGCGGTTAGAACGACGGTCAGTGGTCCAGAGAGACCCAGGTTCGGTTCCCGCTAAGGGCATGTACCTCGGTTTGTCCCCGGCCCTGGTTGGGCTGTACGGGTGGCAGCCACTCTATGTGTCCCTTTCACGTCAATGTTTCTCTCTCTCTCTCTCCCTCCCACTCTATCTGAACAAAAAATGGAAAAATGTCCTATAGTGAGGATAACAAAGAAGGAAAGAAAGAAAAAAACAGACACTTATGCGCTTGGCCTTGGCACTAGACCCACGGGACAGTTTGGCTCTTTTCCTCAAGTGGACACTAGAGCTTTTTCCTGGTCCTGCTTCATGCTGAGCCACGTTAAGTACCAGCGAAGGGGTGGGCCACACTGGGCAGCCAGCACATGTCCAGGACAGTCAGGAGAAACACCCTGTAAACTTCTGAAACAAGTGTGTACACGCCCTGCCCCAGCTCTTTTCACACTTTGGTTGTGAGTCAGTCTCCCTTTCACATTTGTCTCAGCTAAAGAAGGTGAAACCAGAACGCATCAGCTGTGAAGTCTGTGGGTGAGAAGAAACCATGCCGATAAAGCACCTTGAGCGGGTGAACCACATTATCCCCCGTGTGGGTATTTGCATGCAGCGCAGGTTCTCCGTTATCTGGAACCGTCCCTAAGCTGAACTGGCGCGCAGGGTGGGACTGTCCGGCCCGCAGGCTGAATAAGGCCCTCGAAATAGTGCCAGCTGACTTCACACGCCTCACCAAATGAGCCCGACCAAGTATAGCAGCTAATTTTTAAGCTGATAACTTTGTATGGCCCTCGAACAATGTTATAACTATCCACATGGCCCTTGGCAGAAAAAGGTTCCCCACCCCTGGAAGTGAAGAGGTAATTGCGTTTGGACGCATCGTGCTAAGGGATGCACAGCACAGATCAAGAGGAAGCACAGGTGCCCAGCTCAGCTGGCGCTGTGGCGGACCAGCCCGAGATGCCCATTGTGGCCCCGGCAGGAGCCTGCGGGCGCTGCTGCCTCTCTCGGGGCTCAAGCAGAACACACTGAACGCCATTTCCAGGGTTTTCGTAAAAGGGAGAATCCTCTTCAGACTTTTTCTGTTAGCAAAAACAGGGACTGATGTAAGTCTTTCCTAAAAGCAAAATGGCACAAAGTGAACTTTGGAAAAGGGGGGTATATACCACAGTCTGATATTCTGTTAAGAGTCACGGCTTTGTAGATGTATGGCAGGTGGGTGCAGCAATGACGTGTGTGTGCAGACCAGTGCACATGTGGTGTGCTCCACTTTGAATGTGTGGTAAGCAAAGATGCAGCGGTGTTTGAGAAATTCAAGGCTGTGCTTATGAACTGTGATGCTGAACAGTCTTCATTTGCTGATGCTGACATTGCCCTCTTACTGTCTATTATTAAGTTACTTATTCCTACTCGACTCTGCTTGAAGTGAAAAGAAGTACATACCAGAAAGCAGAAGTAGCCCTGACGGGGCAACGGCTCAGGTTTGTCAGGAGATATGACGTGTATCTTCATGAAGGCTGCAAGCATGGATGGTAGTCCCGTGTAGGTTACTGGTAGATGATGATGGTCTGCCGTTAAACCTCGCCTCCTTTTCTGAGTGTTCCCTTAGTTAAATTTAGACTTGTGTTCAAACATAAATTGAGGTGGAACAAGCCCCATTTTCTCAGTGATTCTTACCATATTTTGTTTTCAACTGTATTTAATAATGGGAAGCCCCTGTGGTTAGGAAGGAGACTTGGTAAAATCTACTTAGCTTGAACTTCTAAAGCCTTAAAAAGCAAATGTAAAGTCTTAGTAAAATTTTCTGATAGCTCACAGTCTGTTAGTTCATGTTGCTTGTTTTACAGTGGACGGTATTTAATTGAAATGTGTATTCACTATAGTTGTAATGGTCTTTTTCAACTTAAAAAAAAATCCATTCACTTAGCTACAGAGAGAAAACAAAAAGAAATGTAAAAGGCTGAGAACAAGCATAGGGCATGTGAGCCGGTTCCTGTTTCTTAACTGAAGTTTCCTAAAATCGTGTTTGAGCACCGCCTGTGAAAGTGTGTGTGTTTGAGGAACAAACGCCTGCTCATTTGTTTGCCTATTGTGATGCCTTCACCCTGCACATTTGCAGGGTTTTTTGTAACCTGGTGAAGGCCCCTGAATGGAGGCCTTGTGCTCTACTTGATTTGAAATCCGTGCTGTTAATCTAAAGGCCTCTGCAGGGCCTCAGCAGGAAGCCCGTGGGACAAGTGGAAGTCCAGGATCTGGAAGAAACTTGGTGTTGGGGTGAGAGTAGTGATGGCCTTACAGCATTGGCTTTTGTCACCTGCAGCCTAACTGGGTTGAAGAGCAACCCCTTGGATTGCAATCCTTGGATAGCATGTGCTCACCTGACTCTTGTAGGTTAAGAGCCTGGACAACTTGGATTTAGTTCTCTTACAAAAGTACACTACTCACTTGGCATTATGCATTACTGTTAGAGATTTGGTATCTTGATTACTTGTGTGTGCGTATTTATTTATGTAAAGGGAGGAAGGGTTGCTTGGGAAATGCTGGCTCCTTGGCGTGCTCTTCAGAGTCTGTTTAAAGGCGGGTTGCACCACACTTGGCTGGTTAAATCTAGTCTGTGCAGCTTGTGTACTTTGTAGTACCAGCTATTGGTCCAAAGTTTCTTGGCTTAAGAAGTCATGTAATTCTAAGTGCATACTGTGTGAGAAAGGGGTGGGGCCGCAGAAGCTTTTTATAGGGTTTCACCTAATACACGTTAATTTTTTCAAAGAAAAATTAAGTTTTGAAATATGATTTTGAGAATTTATCAGGAGAAGTAGACCGTGTATATCATATTTCTTTATTTCTGAAACATTTAAACTAATAGGGGCAGGGAGAGAACTTGATTTTTAAGTAAAGTTTTTTCCATTCCCCCTCTTCAATCAGAAACTGGTTCTTCCGCTTTGAGTGCCAATTAAGACCTGCTGTAATAAGTGTTTCGAGTTCTGCCCTGCTGTTTGGCTTCAGGGTCAGTGGGGGAGTGCTCAGTAGCTGAGCATGCAGTTAAACAGCAAGAGACCTGGCCTGCAGTAAGTCCGGTGTGCTGTGACGTTTGGTTTATATAATGTCATCTCAGCACAATGCCGAAACCGTGCGGAACCCATCCTGGAGCAGTTTCCACAGGATGCTAGGAAGGCCATGTTAATGATACGTTTCTGGTGCCCTAGCAGGTTTTTTGGGTGTGTTTTGCTCCCCACTGCTGTTTCACTCTTTATTGTGGTTCTCTGGAAACTATACCACGTGAACATAAGGAATTGTATGTGTAGAGTTTATTGCTTTTGTAGAAACCCCAGGATACTCTGAACTTAATACTTATGTTGTTTTGTGGGTTATTGAGAGGGCATATTAGAAGTCAGTTAATAATAAAGTTTTCATTAATTATTTTAACATTTTTCAAGGTAATATTAAAGGTAGTTCAATCAAAATTAGAATCAAGCATTACAACTAAAATCAGAATTAACAGTAACACGAGCTTTTGGTTTGCAGGAAGCCTGGTTACAGCTGCCCTCCTCCATCTTTTCCTGACAAGTCATCTTCCTGCCAAACTCAGTCTTTAGTTCACATGGTCTCATAATAAAGTTAGTCCTTTTTTTTTATCCTCATCCAAGGACATTTTTTGTACAGATAGAGTGGGAGGGAGAGAGAGGAAGAGAGAGAGAAACATCGACGTGAAAGGGACACATCGAGTGGCTGCCACCCGCACGACCAACCAGGGCTGGGGACAAACTGCAACCGAGGCACATGCCCTTAGCGGGAACCGAACCCGGGTCTCTCTACACCGCAGCAGGCCGACGCTCTAACCGCTGAGCCAAACCGGCCAGGGCATAAATTTAGTTCTTAATTATACATGTTTGTGCTTTTGATGATTCACTGCCTTTCTTGTCATTTGCTTTTACTTTTGATAAAGTATTAAAAAATGATAGCTATAACATTTTATGTCTGCTTAAACATAACATGAGTTGATAGTTTGTGGTAAACCTTTGTTTCATTTGGTTATTGAAGAAGCTTATAACTCATTGAGATATTTATGAAGTGCTTTATGTTTGTGTTTGTTTAGGACATGTCTCAGGAAGGCTATGGAACTAGGTCTCAACCTCCTCTGGCTCCTGGGAAACCTAACCACGAAGACTTGAACTTGATACAACAAGAAAGACCATCAAGTTTACCAGTAAGACTTTAATGTGCCGATTTGGAAATGTAATGAGTTAAAGATTTTTAAAAAGAGCTGTTGTTTTTGTTTGTTCTACTTTATGTTAAGGTTTAGGAGAGATGTTCTAGATTTCAGATATATTTGTGATTTTTTTTTTTAAGAGCTTCATTCTTAGGAGCTATGTAGCCCTGGATAAGTTAATTTCATTTGTAGGTGTCTCTGAGTCCATTTGGAAGGTTTTATTTGGCTGCTGGGTTTTGTGGCAGAAAGGTGGTGTGTAGTATAGTGGACTTGGTACAGTCTCTGTGTCTCTGGTAGTGACCCCCTCCCCCCTCCCGCCCCGTCTTTATGAGTTCAATGTAAAGGAATTCTCCCGAGGCAAAGGGCTTAAAGGATGGGATAAAAGCATCCTGTGGTGGTTTGAATTTTTTCAAGGACTTTATATAATGAGAAATCACTCAGTCTTTTTCACCCAAAAGAAAGTATTTTAGTTTAAAATGGGAAAAAGCAGCATATAAGTATTTCCACCAGCAAATACTGGATGGTGGCTGACATACATATTGATTAGAGGCTATATTATAGGGTGTCTAGTTGATGCCCATAAATTGTTCATCTGTGCTTAATTTGCTTCTTAAATAGGCAGCCTAATTTAAATGAGGTTTTTCTTATAAACTAAAAGAATACATCTGTGCAAAATTTTATATTTTCTTGTTAAAAATGTTTTGGTTTAAGGAATTACTGTTATTGCTTAATCTCTATTAAGAAATTTTATTTAAGGTTCAGGCTAACCATGATATTCAATGTTTACATTAATTAAGATTTATTATATTGCTTCTGAACACGTGAGAACAGCATTCGTAGTGAATGTTATACATGACATTTGGCAGGCATACCATACCCGTTTTCAACGTACATGTAGCCTTAGGGAAGAAGGTAAGTGACGGCGACAGAATGTCCAGTGTCTTTGAATCTGATGCACATGTTTTTGAAACCCTAATTTTACAGCTTTTATTTCTGTGGTGAGTGAAATTTATTGTGGTTATGTTTTTAGTCACAGTGGAGTATTTATTGTGTAGTTACTTGGATTTTGAAGGAATGAAAAAGGTGATGGATTCTGTTTTATGCTGTAAGCTTTTTTCTTTAGCAGATAAATCACAGCTTTGGAGAGCATGTAGAGAGAGAGAGAGTGTGTGTGTGTACGCACATGTGTGCGTGCATGGGCACCTATGAACACTGTTGATAAATGGAACATTTGTTGAATATTTAGGAGTTGGCTCATGGTTTTAGGAATTTAAGTCAACTCCTGGGAATCAGATGGACAGTGAATTCTACTTTTCTTCCACCAGATTTAAGTGTTTTTAGAGAAGCCTCACTTTGTAGGTTTGTCGTTGGCTGGTGATATATACTGATATATAGGTAGGACATTTTGTTATATATTGAGACAGATGTTTGTGTAGCTATAAGAGTAGTTTGCAGCACTGCTGTCTTCAAATCTCTGGAACTGTGGCATCTCTCAGGGCCGTGCTGCTCCTCCCGGCTCTGCAGCAGAGTGGGGAGCACATTCAGCTAACTCGACAGCACGGGAGGGACGGGATGGAGTGGGATGGTGCTGTTTTGGTGGATCACTACTGGTAGAGGGGCGTTCAGTATTTTAGAAAGTGAGTCCATGTACTCATCAGTAGTTTAAATTGTTCTGCCCTGTTCTGTTTCTATACATATCATAGGATGGCTTGTTTTCTTTCTTAATCTTGATGTTGCCTACTTCCCAAGAGGATTTAAGGTTGCTCATAGTATACATTTTCTTATGAAGCTATTAAAAAAAATGTCCTAATTGCTGTTTTCTTTCTGTTTTTGTAACTCACAGATTAATAAGATGCTGACTGACTCAGTAACATTTCAGTAATCTTTTGTCAGAGCCCAGGTTTCAGGCTGCTTGGTGAGTTACAGCAGTGCCATTCCAGCCACTGAGGGAGGGACGAGCTGTAGGTCAGCCCGTGTGCCCACCCCCGCCCCATGTGTTAAGGTGAAAATTGGCTTTATTTCAATAAATTTTAGTATGCTACTTTTTTTCCAACAGGCTTTGCTTATGTAGAAAGTTTCTATATGAAGTTTACAAATATGTTTTTATTTATGTGGATGCTACATTGATGTGTTGTACACAGTTAAGGTAATTATAGTTTAGGGGAAAGATGTGTTGATATTCAGTATGGCTCTAATATCACATATTTTTACTGTTACATTTATTATTAAATATTTCAGTTCTCCAGGTTGGCTAAGGTACTGTGAAACTATACTTGTTATCTATCTGAGTCTCCTATGGAGCCTTGTAGATTTCAAGTGTCAGTGATATGCATTTTGTCATTTTACTGAAGGTAAAAGATTAGCTATCATATTGGTAATCTCTGGTTTTGTAATTTGGAACTAAGGAAATCGTGGTCTGATCTATACATTTGAAAAATATGTGGTATAGTGATTCTAATGTGTAATTAGTAAGTCTTATTCATTATATATGTGACTATTAGGAGGAATCTTCTCAAGTGGTTATTATTTAACCTTTTTACTTATATTGAGATAGGTTTTGTCATATTTTCTGCACACGTGATATTTTCTTCAGCATATGTTTGTTACACAGTTAACTTTCCATTGCACGTTAGGACCTTTCCCGCATCCTCATGTGAGATCTATAATTTGATGCCTTAGTAAGTTGTCCTCTCACTATTGTTTGAACTGGTAGTTCCCTGTATTTGCATGTCATTAAATTCTTGGTGATCTTCAGCAGCTAATGCAGTTGTTTCCAGCTTACTAGATCTTCAGATCATCCACATAAAGCAAATGACTGATAAATTAATACTTGTCCTCTTGTTGCCTTGAGGCCATGACCAGTAATATTTGCTTTTCACTTAATGCACTCAGACTTGATCTCAGAACAAATCTTCTTTAATAATAGCCACTTATTTCTATACCTCTTTATCATACAGCTTTTCTCCTGCTGAGATACATTAGCTTATATACCTACCCTTTGTATTACCATTATTGATAAATCTTAGCATATAGCATGTGATATAAAAATTACTTTGAGCCTAGCCGGGGTGGCTCAGTTGGTTGAAAGCCGTCCTGTGCAGCCTGTGCACTGAAGAGTTGTTGGTTTGATTCCCGTTAAGGGCACATACCTGCGTTGTGGGTTTGAGCCTCTGTTGGGGCACGTCTGGAGGGCAGCCAGTCTCTCTCAGCATGTCCTCAGGTGAGGATTAAAACAAAATTAGGCCCTGGCCGGTTTGGCTCAGCGGCTGGAGCATCATCGGCCTGTGGATCAAAGAGTCATAGGTTGGATTCCGGTCAAGGATGTTTGCCTCGGTTACGGCTTGTCCCCGGCCCTGGTCGTGTGGGAGGCAACCGGTTGATGTGTCTCTCACATCCATGTTTCTCTCCCTCTCCCTCTCCCTCCTCTCCCTCTTTCCCTCCCTCCCTCTCTCCCATTCTATCTAAAGATAAATAGAAAAATATCTTGGGGTTAGGATTAAAAAATTAAAAAAAAAAACAACCCACAAAATTAGTTTGAAGAATGCTGTTTCCTTGGAATATTAATCACTTAAAATTGGAGCATATTCTATAGCTTTTTTCCATTTCTAATATTGATGTGAAATGAAGCCAGAATTTAAACAAAATAAACAGTGCAAAGTCTTAAAAAAGCCTATAAACTTAACTCTTTTATTTTATAAACACTGAGTATGTCTCAATGTATATTCTAAGATAACCCCCAGAATATGATTCAGTGCACTTTCTGTTGAAGTTTGTGATCTTTTCATCTCTCGTGGCATTCCCTGTTTATCCTTTTGTTGCAGTTATTTTTATAGCTGCCTAGTCCCCATTAGACTAGCATCTTTTTAGAGTATTTATTATGTTTTATTCAGTAGGTATTTTCCTAATAGAATTCATGTAAAAACTTATAAGTACATTCTTTCTCCAGTTTCAGAATTTTCTCTTAATTGCTTATAGGGTCTTTTCCCAGGTGCTGCGCTGATACCAGCAGAGCCTGTGGCCCGGCACACGTGGTCGGTGGAGTGTGCTCCTGTGTTGCAGGTGGTCTCATTCTTACAGACATTTTCTCTTATCATAAAATTGCAGTTGAGTTTTACCTTGGACCTTAAGCTTTAAGAGAAGAAGTAGGCACTTTGGGATAATGACGCTAAAAGGAGCGTGAAACCATTCTTCCTTAGTAATAGATATTTTTTAATTAAAAAATAAGTGGACAGAAACAGTAATGATAATCTCAGTAAATATAATACAGATAGATATGTTGTTAATAAAATATTTATAAATATGTACAAAGAAGTAAACAAACCAAAGATTTTTCTTCCTCCTCGAAGCAAATAGTGCTTTCTCCTCCAGGGTTTTAAAGACTTGTTAAATATTCCTCCGTTTAGAAATAACGAATTTGTTTCTTTCTTCAGAAAAGAGGCCTGCCGCCAGTTGTGTTTCAGATAGGTCCATGGTTCTGTTTACCTAAGAGAGAGTACGATCAGTCATGTTCTAATGACTTCTGAGAACCTCTTTGTGACCCTTTCTTCCTTAAGTAGCACATATTTGAAGAGGTCGACATGAAAAGGATTTGCTCTTCCTCGTTTAGTTAAAAAACCCTAACTGTCCTGTGGACTAGTGCTCATGGCAGTTTCATCGAGTTTGCAATTAGAGGGAAATGCTGAGGTTTAGATGAGAGCGTTGTCCGTCAGCCCGTTGTGAGAGGGGTGACGGTCGATGCTGCTGTTCTCAGGAACAGAGGGTGCCAAGCAGGGTATGGGAAGCCCAGAAGAGAATGGTTGGAAAATGTTGTTATGGAAAGCATTCTTTGGGCTTAGGTGTTGACCACAGAACATACAGTGATCTTCCTTAACGGAGAAAGAAGACTCTGTGTGTTTTGTTTTTTGAGTCTTGAATGGCATTTGGGTTGGGCAGGGGTAAAATGTCATATACTTTGGGAGCATATATGAATATTGATGATATGTTAATAGGGATATTTT